GCAGATATGTGTTGGGGGGCGGACACACATTGGGGGGTGGGCACATGTTGGGGGGCAGATATCCGCGGGAGGACTGAGCAGCCGGTATGGAGGAACCAGCCCCAGCAGTGGCGCCAAATTGGAGTGAGGGACCAGTCCTGCCATGCGGTTGGACAAGTGAGTACAGCGCGCCAGTGTGATCAACGCCCGGCTGAGATGAGTAAGTCTTTGCCGCCATGGAGGGATTGTTATGCCAGATGGAATCAAGATCCGAGTACCACGGAAAGTCTGCATGAACAAGTTCTACAAAAATCAATCAGCCGCAGACCAAAAATAAGGCATGAGGGACTCACCTAAGAGATTTTGCGCAGACTGCCCATCAAGCGGCATGACACCAGCGCCCATGGCATTGAACTTGGCCTTTGTCGGAAAAAAGTTACATGCCATTGTAATGCCGCTGGCTTACGACTTGGGTCATGTGCATTAAAAGGTACATTACAAGTGCCTTTCAAGGGCGGCTGAGGTCATCACAAGCGTGATATTGTCTTATGAAATGATATCGATAAACAATAATGTTCATTGATTGTACAGTATCGCATCGTCGCTATCAGCATGGGTCCCTCTCGCACTCATCGAAGCAAATACAACTTCTCAGAAGAAACTCTGACAGGGCAGCTTTCATGCCCGCATTGTAGCAAGAAGTTCAAGACCCAAGGCTTCAAGAAGCACGAAGCAAGCTGCAAGAAGCAGAAGGACACCAAGGCGGAACGAGCAGAGTTTGCCCTTCAATATGCACGAGATCAGAGGAGAGGTGAGTCCTCTGCTACCCATTCTTGATGGTTTCCTTTGACAATATTGAGGTATGCAGCTCGGCAGCAGGCTTACACTGACATGGGCATGATAACGCCCAGCACTGGCCCATCGCGATCAGTCGCTGGGATTCAGAACGCGCCCCCTGCGATCAAAGATCATGGTCCTCTAGGTATGTCTCGCATATTCTTTGCGTGTCCCTACAATGCCAACTGACACTAGCTGACTCTGTGTTGCCAGCAGATAACCCAAACACTGGTGATTTCGAAGCTTACGATGGCAACTTCGAAGGTGCTGGTAGCCTAGGTAAGCGTGCACCATATTCACCTGTATCGCTTACTGATTCTTTTGCATAGCCAACAGCCAGCGAGGTTCTGTTGAACCGCAACCTGCAATACCTCCTCCACAACCCATTGAATTCAAAATGGTCTATCATCCTTCTGCTCGTCGTGAACTGCTCCTTCAAACATTTGAGGAGTTTGGCGTCAATACACGCCCTGAGGAAGAGCTTCCCGTAGATGAAGAGCCCTGGCGTCCTTTCTGTTCCCGTGGTGACTTCGAGTTTGCGGAGATCGCACTCAATGCCGCCCTCAACAAGTCACACATTGACGGGCTCCTTGCGCTTATTGGCCGCATATCGAGAGGGGAGAGCCGAGTCACTTTTAAAAATGACATTGAGCTGCGCAAAGCTTGGGAACACGCAACGGCTCAGGTGACGCCGGTATGTCATTAATTAATCTCACATTTTGTATGATATATGTTGTGAATTAGTTTGTAAAACACGACATCACCGTTCCTTATAAGAAAGAACAACGAGTATATGAGACCCACGCGCTGCCTCTGTGGGACTGGGCCCTTGATTTGCTAGCTAATCCGCTGCTTGCTCCGCATTTTGTCTGGGACGCACAACAAGTTTTCAAGCATAACGGCAGGGAGTTTGAACGCTTTTACAATGAGCCGTGGACGGGTGATCGATGGTAGGACATACAGGCATGTAATATCTATTTAATGTTACTATCCACTCTCACTCAGCATCAACAAACCAGAGTCGCCTTCCAAATGACATTAAGGCTGCTCCGTTCTGCTTCATCCTGTACGCGGACAAGACAAGACTGTCGTCCCATGGTACAGTAAAGGGATATCCTGTCGTGGTCCGTTGCGCGAATTTGCCAGTTGGCATATGAAACAGAGAGGGTATTGGTGGTGGCCGTGTTGTCGGGTGGTTGCCAATCGTACGTCAACATTCTGATTGAATCTTCTGACGTGACTCATTATAGTTGCAGGTATCTGAAGATGCAGACGAAGAAGGCAAGCCAGGGTTCGTAAACCTCAAGCGTGTCGTATGGCACGAGGCATTCTTAAAGCTGTTGGAACTGGTCGCGCAATACTCAAAGTCTGGCTATTCACATACTTGCTATGACAAGATCGCGCGCTGGCTGTTTCCCATTATTCTGATACTATCTGCTGATTATGAAGAACAGTAAGTTCTGTATTCTTACACACAGTGTCCGCAATCTGATATCAGACTGTTTCTAGATGCATGATGTCTCTCATTCGCGGCCACCATAGCAAATGTCCCTGTCCGGTATGTCTTGTACCACTCGAGGAACTTAGTGAGCTATCAAAGACGTTTGCATTTAGATCAGTGGAAGAAGCAATAGCCGCACTCAATGTTTACAAGGTCAGCAAAGCTCGAGGCGAGGAACTTCTCAAGGCATTAGGATTGCGCGCTGTCACGGTAAGTCAGCAGTGATATTCACTCTCTCGTTTCGCCTCCGCTTGCTTGTAAATTACAGGTTCAAGCAGAGTAGCTTCCAGACTGCCGCTCTTGCTGTTTTAAAGCAGAGGGATGCTCGCGCACTGGACCTCAATCCTTTTAGACTGCCACTCTCGCTGTTTTAAAGCAGAGGGATGCTCGCGCACTGGACCTCCGGCAAGATTCCCCATAGTTCTGTGTTTTAGTTATCTGATAATTCTCCTCTTCCTGCCCATCTCCTTCATATCTCGTTATCCCATACAATTCTGATCTTCGCTAATACATCAACAGAATGTTTTCTGGCTCATTTCCCACTCTGATCCTCATCAAGCCATCAGTTTTGACCGCCTTCATGCCCTCCATCTTGGCATGTGGAGGCACCTACTCGAGGAGTTGAAGAAAATCCTCAAAGCACTTGGACGTGATGAAGAGTCAAAGGTTGAGAAACAGTAAGTCATTCACATCGCGATTCTCATCAACTCATGACCTTCAGTAGGGTTGCTAGTTTCCCTCGATGGCGCAATCTTAATCATTTCAGCACCATCATCCACATTACCTTCAGTGATGGTAACAAGATGCAAGATCTATCCAAGGTACGTATCATGAGGCTTTTAGCTTTTTAATACTAATTGCTGCGCAGCAAGTCTTTTATTCTGCGGTAAATGTCTTCAACCAGAGGACGAGCCCAGAAGGGTACAAACTTCTCCGCATTATTAGCAGCTATCTGCAATTGGACAGCTATATCGGTCTCGACGTGCATACATCAAGCACGCTGGCAGCAATTGATGCTGAACTACTCGTTTTTGATAGCGCACTCAAGGTAAATGTTTTGTTCATTCACTTTTTAAATAGATTGTTGATCGCACATTCTAGGACTACATCGAATGCGCTCTCAATTCTCCCATCGAGGGTCTTAAGCTTGACTGGGACTTTCCAAAGGCGCATCTCTGGAAGCACGCAACTAGGGACATCCAAATGAAGGGTGTAGTACGCAACTACAGCACCCGTCCGAATGAGAAGCTTCAT